GCTAAACCATGTCCCTAAGCACCACATCTACACCTCTTTTAAATACCTCACAGGGACGGTGACTCCACCACTTCCCTGGGCAGCCTGTTGCAGGGCTTGATAACCCTTTCGGTGAAGAAATTTTTCCTAATAGCCAATCTAAACCTCCTCTGCCACAACTTGAGGCCATTTCCTCTCATCCTATCTCTTGTTACTTAGGAGAAGAGACCAGCACCCACCTCACCACAACCTCCTTTCAGGTAGTTGTAGAGAGCAGTAAGGTCTCCCCTCAGCCTCCTTTTCTCCAGGCTAAACAGCCCCAGCTCCCTCAGCTGCTCCTCATAAGACTTGTGCTCTCGACCCTTCACCAGCTTCATTGCCCTTCTCTGGACACACTCCAGCACCTCAATGTCTTTCCTGTAGTGAGGGGCCCAAAACTGAACACAGGACTTGAGGTGCAGCCTCACCAGTGCCCAGTACAGGGGAACAATCACCTCCCTGCTCCTGCTGGCCACACTATTTCTGATACAGGCCAGGATGCCGTTGGCCTTCTTGGCCACCTGGGCACACTGATGGCTCGTATTCAGCTGGCTGTCGATCGACACCCACCCCCAGGTCCTTTTCTGCCAGGCAGCTTTCCAGTCACTCTTCCCCAAGCCTGTAGTGTTGCATGGGGTTGCTGTGACCCAAGTGCAGGACCCAAAGTTAGCTTTCTGTAGCAAATGAGGGAAAAAGCAACAAGTCCCAGCTGATGGGGTGTGGCACACAAGCCTGTGCTACGTGAAGTGCATGAGGTGATGCTGCAGCCTCTTTAGGAGCGTCTTGCTCTGAGGACACAGAGCAGGGACACGGGAACAGCTTTGTGATGGTAGAGCTGGGCTGGTTTGTCCTGCTCTGCTTGAACTAGGCAGGCACCCATGCTGTCCTCAGGTAAGTTCACCAGTTCCCTAACAGTAGGCTTGCCTCATCGCTCTTGAGCACGCAGGCTGTCATTTGACAACACACATTAAAACATCAATCTCGTTTTGCAGGGTTTTTAAACCCAGTAGTCCTTACAACAAAATGTGACCAAAACTCCCGTACTATGAAATCATGGGCCGTAGTGTCTCTGCACTACTACCTGTGGTAAGTGCTGCTTAGTTCTGGGGCACACCGTGCAGCAAATCAGTAAATTAGCTTAGCATGCCTCCAGTGCAACACAAGCAAATAAATCGAGTAACAGGGAGCAGCACTGGCAAGCACATTGCAAAGATACCTGAATGATTCCTTGTGCGGCCAGCACAGGTCTGGCAGACCCAGTGCCAAGCTAGAGCTAATAAAACCTGGCAAACTCAAGCTGTGCCTGCATCTGTGGTGCAATTAATCTGTGACACCAACAATCTGCCTGCAGATAACTGTAAGCTGACTATATGTACAAATTTAACAACTCACATTAATTAATACTTACAGCTAGATTGAAAAAAATATCACTAATATTTGGCAACAAATAGCAAACACCATTACAACTCACAAGCGTGAAGTTCATGCATCAATAATTATGAGACAGATAGAAAAGTCATGATACTGTACATGTGCATTTTGATTTTGTAATTTAATTTTGATCTCCCTATTATTATCATCTCTTATGATAGACAATTAATATCAATTATGTTACTATAGCACACAGAAGTCCCACTCACAGGCACTATTGCCTTGAGTGATACACAAATAGAGAACAAAAGGTAACACTGCAAAGTGTTAACACAGACCGATGAGACAAAAGATGACAGAGTATGAAGAAATGACACGAATGGTCAACATGCCAAGAAGAGATCTTTGCATACTAGCAGCTTAGCTACTGTCAATTTTTTTTGACATCACAGTAAAACAACCCATTAGGGAGGGAAGGCTTTTCATGATGATAATGAGAGTGCTTTTTATTTAGAAATTAATTATAGTTTCTATACCATATTACCAGTGTTCCTCCCGCCCATGTCAGTTCAAACCAAGAACAATCGTGTCAGGACAATTTCTGCTTCTCCAGTTGCTCTGAAGTCTGCAATCCACATGGCGTAGCTTCAGCAGTCTTTAGTAGTGACCTAAGAGGGACACACACTTGCTACCTATGGCAAAAGACGAAGCATTACAGGCCACAGCACCTAGGCAATTTCTAGTCTCCCCTCTTCTGAGAAAAGTGTCATCTGGCAAGAAAAGGCAGAAAGTTCAAACAATCTCATATAATCATCCTAAGTGGCTGCTCAACCCCCAGTGTTAGGCAAATGTAGAAATTAGTAGATGTTTATCCATGTGCCTGACATTCATAGCTTGTGCCTTTTTAAGACCATCTCTAGCCTTTGCTGAAATCTTGCAACTTGCAAAAAAGTCTTGAGCCCTGGCAGTGTTTCGGGTACGTTAGCTGTCAAGGCCCGGAGCGCAGCCCCGTTCTAGGAGTGCCGTTGCCTATTTTAGAGTTTAGCTGGCTAAGTCCAAGGTCAGCTGCTCTGCTGATAAGACCTGTTGTGAAGAAAGCTAGAAGTGAGGGCCTCCGTCTCCTTTCCCTTGGGAACTGCTTTTAAGCTGAGGCTGTACCTCTGGCCCTTGCCTGTTCTACATCGCAGCTGGGCGGCAGCTACATCTACACCTGGTCTCCTACCTCCTTGATCCTGACTCTGATCCGGACTTGGACCTGCTGGCCGGGCTTCCTGGCTTGGTCTGGGACCTGCGTTATCACTATGGACTTGCTGTGCAATCACCAGACTATGTCTGACCCTGATGACTGTCTCTGGCCCTGATCATAAATCAAATGTGCTAAATGTGCTGCTCCATACCCTGCTGCTTCTTGGTGATGTCTCTGCTCCCACCTGCCTTGGTATGATGCTCCACCCATGGCTCACCTTCCCTTGCAGAGCAGCTGGCCCCTGCTGCCCCCTGACATTGCCACGCTTAACGCATTACTGCACTGCCACGCTTAAAAATTTAATCACACAGAGCTGTTGACATGCAGAACAACTGTGCTGACTGTCCACAGAAAAAGCAGCATAAGCCACATGAGGTAGCAGAGACACACAGATTAATCTTTCACAGCTCAGCTACCTATCACAGCCATGCAGGTGCTCTACACACCTTTGTTTCACATTAAATGAGTTCCTACATTTCAAGGCTGTGTAAAGATTTGTAAAGCCAGCGCACCCAGCCATCAGGACAGTTCTGACTTGGGGGAAGCCTTTGCAGAATGCAGAACCAGGATGAAATTTCTTTCCTTGCATGGGGCTTGTTAGGACTGCTGTGGCACTTGAGCTGTTCTTGACTGCTACTGGCTCTGGAGGCTGTAGAGGGCCAAGTGTACAGATGGTCAACATGCATATATTATGCTTATTATTAGGCTGCAAGGCCTATACATGAACTAGAATCCTGTTGAATTAGGTTCAATATATGTTGTGTATAAACAGAATACAGATGCACAAACATCTAAATGTAAGACAGGAGATGACAGAGACACACAGATGGAGGAGAACCATTTTGGGTAGTAGGGTAGACAGTGGTCTCAGTACACCAGGAAACTTCCCGTTATCGAATTTCATCACAACAAGAGATAATCGTTAGGGAGGGTTTGAAGAAGAAAGATGATACACTTCTGTGGATATTTAGGAGACCTGGGACAAAAGTGAAGGAAACAATGAAAGCAAATAAGAGGACAATGAAAGAAAAAAAGATGCTTTTCTGAAAATTCAGCAAGTGGCTATAAAATATTGATGTATTCAGCTGATGAGAGACAGGACCCAACTACTTGGTACAAAAGATAGATGATGACATGTGGGAAAGGGATAAGCTGTGAAAGCTTGCAGTTAATAAAAGACACTTGCCAAGACCAAAGAAAATAATGTTCTGACAGTTAGGTTGAAAGATGAAAACACAGAGGAGTGGTGTGGATGGTTAGGGAGGACCAAATAATAGAGATCTGCTGCAGAGAGAATCCTGAAGACTTAGAGTTGGACCTTAAAAGGTGATGTATGTGATAATTTTAGCTGAACCTGTGTCTGCTTTGAAAAAAGGGGATTGTCTTACCGGTTTTATACTGGCTAGATGCCCAACAAAAAACCTGTTAATAATTTATCTGACTCAAAAAACTAACTACTATTTGACTATTCCAAAATTACACAGTCTTGCAAGATTAAGCATCAAACAAGTGATTAGCATCATCTGATGTGATAGAATGACTCAAAAAACAGCAGATATCTGTGAAAGAACCAAATTGCCTGATTCAGGCATGCATTCAATGGGACAAGAAAACAGCAGTGAAGAATGTAGGAAGGGATGGACATCAGAAGCATGTATGCGTTAACAGAGTGACAGTGGTGCCATTTCTACCTCTCACTGCTTATGCAAGTATTAAATTGGTTTTGTTGCACTGTTTGTCACTGTGGTCATCTATTGCTGCTTCCTCTTCAGTTTACTCCTTTCTATCCTCAACCCTACTATTCACTCACCCAAACTACCCAAACTGCACTTCCACACCTCACCCAATCAGTCTCCTCTGGCCCAAGATCTCTAAATAGAGAAAAGTCTTTTCTGCCCAACTTATTTTTCCAAAAACATCTTCTTGGCTTTGCCTGCTTCCTTAACGCAAAGATTCCCCCTCAGTTGCCCCAACCACTTCTAACACCTAATTGTTTCCCACTGCCACCATGCCAGCGTGGTTCCTAACTCCCTGTGCATCCTCAGTTTCCTCCTACTCTCTTTTCTGATGTTGGTGACTTCTCCAAATTTTCCAAAGGTAATTTGTGAGATCTTGACACCTTCTACATAGTACTGTAGGAAACACCACAGTGACTCACTGTCTTACTGCACTGCAGAACTTTAAATGTCTATCTAAGAATATGTGGAGTGTCTCCTAAGGTATTCAAAATATAAGACCTGGCGTGACTGACTGCCTTAAGAAACAATAGTTGTTTTGATTGCATTTAGAAATTTCATAAGATGCCAGAGTACATTGTCCTAGAATGTACATTTATGTGTTTTAGTTATGTTCACAGTGGTAGAAACAATAGTCAAAATGCAAAAAGAGAACACAAATAATTTGATAGATTGTTTTAGAAGTGTTTTATGGCAACTCTAATGGAAGTCTGTGCTATTTAATGAGCTTCTTTCTTTTTCTGTTTTTTCCCTTTGCTCTTTACAGCTGTCTCCAAAAGAATATTTTCGAGTACAGAAAGCAATATGCAACAGTGCTAAGATCCTGATGACAATACACCAAGAACAAGAATGGAAGTAAATTTATTCAGCAATTCTACTGTTGTAAACAGTTCATCCATCAACCATAAGCAGTTAGAAGGGCATAGCCTCTGGGAAGTCATTACTATTGCCACTGTAACTGCAATTGTAAGCTTAATAACCATAGTGGGAAATATTCTTGTAATGATATCCTTCAAGGTTAACAGTCAGCTCAAAACTGTCAACAATTATTACTTGCTCAGCCTTGCCTGTGCAGATCTCATCATTGGAATATTTTCTATGAACCTTTATACGTCCTATATACTCATAGGCCATTGGTCTCTTGGAAGCCTTGCCTGTGACCTGTGGCTAGCACTGGACTATGTAGCTAGCAATGCCTCAGTAATGAACCTCCTAGTCATCAGTTTTGACAGGTATTTTTCCATCACAAGGCCTTTAACTTACAGGGCCAAACGCACTCCCAAAAGAGCTGGCATCATGATTGGTCTGGCTTGGCTAATTTCCTTCGTGTTGTGGGCACCCGTAATCTTGTGCTGGCAGTATTTTGTGGGTGAAAGAACAGTACCACCTGAAGAGTGCCAGATACAATTTTTATATGAGCCTATTATCACCTTTGGTACTGCAATTGCTGCTTTTTACATCCCAGTGTCCGTGATGACCATTCTGTATTGCCGCATCTATAAAGAGACAGAGAAACGTACCAAGGACCTTGCTGAACTGCAGGGTTCAGAGTCTGTGGCAGAGTTTGAGATGATAAAGCCTCAGAAAGTTCTCCTGAAGTCTTGCTTCAGTTGCAAGCAACAAAACTTAGTCAAAAGAGAGAGGTGTCAGGCTTCCTGGTCTTCATCTAGTCGAAGTACGTCAGCTACTGTGAAAGCCTCTCAGGCAGGGAGTACTTGTAACGACTGGGCTAAGGCTGACCAGTTAACCACCTGCAGCAGCTACGCATCTTCAGAAGAGGAGGATAAACTTGCCGCTGATTCAGTTTTCCAGGTAACTTACCGAAGTCCATCTAAAGGTAAGGCAGAAGAATTTAATGAGAGTACGGATGTTGTTGTCAAAGACCAACCTGAAGAAAGTGATTTTGAGAACCAGAAATACTTTTTGTCACCTGCCAAAGGCCACGTACAAAAAAGTAAAAAATGTGTGGCCTATAAATTCCGGTTGGTGGTTAAGGCTGATGGCACGCAGGAAGCCAACAATTGTTGCCGTAAAGTAAAAATAACTCCTTGTTCTGCTGCTCTGTCAAAGGATCCTTCCATCAAAAGCATGGATCCAAATATAAATAACCAAATCACCAAAAGGAAACGGATGGTTCTTATAAAGGAACGCAAAGCAGCACAGACTTTAAGTGCCATTCTTTTGGCTTTTATCATCACATGGACTCCCTACAATATCATGGTTTTGGTCTCCACATTCTGCTCTGACTGCATTCCCTTGACACTGTGGCACCTTGGATATTGGCTATGCTATGTGAACAGCACTGTTAACCCCATTTGTTATGCCCTCTGTAACAAAACTTTCAGGAAAACTTTTAAGATGCTGCTTTTCTGCCAGTGGAAAAAGAAAAAAGTGGAAGAGAAACTATACTGGCAGGGCAATACCAGACTGCCATAATTGCTCTTATGTAGGGGATAAGGGAGAAAATAGATATTGACGTAATCTGGTTAATTGACTGTAATTCTGTCTTTTCAAAGCTGTTGCTTTATATGTCTAGGGGTTAAAAAAATTCTGCAGAAAAGTAAAATTTTGCATGAAAGTAGTGTGCTTGGGATAAAGAAGTCAGTGGCTGCTGTGAGCAACACAGGGTGGTTTTGATTATGCAGTAGATCTGCATTAAAGTTATTACGTTTGGGGTCTTCTGTCCTTTCTTTCAGCCTGAGAATATGTAGAGTAAATTATAAACCACTAGAAATTAGAGTGGGATGGTCATCCAGTCATCAAGTTAGATCACCCAGTCTATCTCCCTGTAGTGCAGATCTGTTTCTTCCTATAGTTCCTTTCTAGTGTACTGTCTATTTAGTGTTCAGTGTACCAAGCAATGGAGCTTGTACTACTTCTGTTTTGAGAATTTTCCACCTGCTGTTGGAATGAAACAAGGACTATTTAAAGGGGGAAATGCTGTCATCCCCAATACTAAACACTTAGAGAGATTCATAATACTCCAAATGAACACACATATTACAGGAGAATGTAATACTGAGAAAATTTCCACTTTAAGGGTGACTTTTGTGGAGACATAGGAAGGGCTCATAGTGGAGGAAACAGGTAACGTATTTTGTATATGAAGAAGCCTGTCCCAGTCTCAGTTCCATCATGCAAGTCACTGTCATCTGTAAAAAATAGTGATGGTTAGCAGATACCTCCAAACTTCTCCCTTTCCCAATGCCTCTGAAGGAAATTTTAAAATTTTATGTGATAGTGACAATGGTACAAATCAGAACTGACTGTAAAGCATAATGGATGTAGTCTATCTACTTCGCAACACAAGGAAAGTCTTTTTTGCAATCTCCTTTGTTGCGCTTCCCCTTGCCCCAAAAGTTTCCGTTACTGATGAAATGATGCAGAAGAAGAGAAAAATATGTATTGGTGCCCTGTGCATTTACCTATATATTATGAAACTATTATAAACAGTGACAGAATTGCCATGTCTGAAAGAAGAAAGATTTTTAAAGTAATTTTTGAATATTTCTATAAAACTATTAAGGACACTTTGCACTTTCATAGCACTTTTAATCTTTAAATAGCTTTACAAATACTAGTCAACATGAGGTGTTTGGAAACATAAGTTATCTCCAGTCACTATCTTTTGGTCCAGCAGAACCATTTCTGCTACAGTACTGGGGACTGGAATCAACCCCTCTGACAGCTGTGGCTTCTGGGACTGGGCTGCACTGGCCTGGTCACAATGAGCTGAGACTCTGGCCACTAGCTGAGGTTTGCTGGGGTTTTGGGGCTGTGGTGAGGACGCTTCTGTGGCAGGGTTGAACTGCATGTGCCTGTCTGCTGTCTGTGTTAGACTGGCAGGAGTCTGCAGCATTGACTGAGTGCATGCGTAAGCAAGGGGCTGCCTTCAGCAGAAGGCCACTGGAACAGAGCTGGTGACCCAGCTCCTTGTGGTGGGAACAAACATGAAGCCTCAGAAAAGGCCACAAGTTAGTGGCGACCGGGGTCATAAGGAATGAAGTCCTAAAGTAAGAAAAAGTTTATGAGTAAATGAGAAAGATCTCCATGTCCACAAAGTTCAGATTCAGTTCTAGCCTTTCTACCAAAATTCAGGGTGAGATGCTCCGGAATATTAGTTTGGGCCAATCTTCACATTGTATCTACTATGCGCTTTAGTGGGACATTGCAGTAGTGACGTGACCCAGTTGCACATTTCAGGGATTGTATTAGTCATCCTGAATGTACCATTGCTCTCAGTGAAATTGTTCGTATAATTTATTAAATTATCATACCATCAAAATGTTTCCCTACAGATACATAAGTCCTCCATGTCAACAACCACAGTAGAAGTAATTAATATTTTTTATCCCCAATCTCCAGAGGGGAAAATTGTGTCAGTGAAAGATCAGCAGTGTAGTAATATAAAAATATGTTCTCTAAATTCACATGATTGATTTTGTAACACACCATACTGTGCCTATTATTTTTTGTGCATTAGCATATGATTGCTTAGTAAAGGAAAGTATGGGTCTTTATAAAGACCCTTTCATCAACTTTCCTCTGTCACTATCCAGAGCTTTTCCTGTGTACAGTAACTATGTACAAGTTGGTTATTATAGTGGGTTTATTTTATATTACATTGGATCAGACACTCAGTAAAGTGTGTTTGATTTTTAGCAAATGAATGTGTCCCTCTGTGGCACGAGCTGTAGTTAAAGGCAAAATTTATGAGGTAGTAACATTTCCTGCTAGCTGCAGTGTTGTTGCTAAAGTAAAGCATTGGCTTCTGCTGAAATTAAATGGGATATTTTTTGTTGATTTTGGCTTCTGTTGAACAAAAGTGTTCTGTAAATGTTTATGGACTCTGTGCTCAGTAAATGTATTAGAATACATGGTGATGGATGCAACAATGTTGGTTCAATGTAATTGTGAAATATGTGCTCAAACTATGCTGCTAGCACTTCACCGTGTGACACGTTACATGGTCAAATATGGGTACATTGTAAATACCTAGAATTATATAAAAAGGTGTGTGCTGCTTTATCGTTAGGTAGGATGTTTATTCTTTAAAAAAATCAAAACCACAAAAAGAAAAACATGATCCTCATCAGAGGATTAGTTAGTACTTAATTATATTTTGTTTTCAAATTATATTTTGTACATTTAAAAAGTGTTGTGGGACTTTCACAGTGTAGAACAATCTTGTTATCTGTATTTCTGTCTTTTTAATGAACCTTTTACCAATCCTATAATCGATTATGGTCATGGTCATGGACTGGTGAAAAGATCTTTTTATGTAAAATTACATTTTATTTATACATAATTACATACACATACATATATATAGATATAGTGTGTATATATATCCCTAACTAAGCTTTTCAGAGACCCAGTACACTTTAATATTTTTTAATTTTCCCACAGACTGGGAGTATAATTTTTGTCTCTCCCTTTTCATATATACCAGCCTCCCTGTACATTCAGGATCCCCATAAATTATCAAGTAACATTCATTTCCTGTAAATATAATTTGTAGATAAATACTTGGAAGAGTTCTCAGGATTTTTGAATGGGTATAGAACACCTAGCTAGTGTTGTGCACTTTCTGTGACTACTTAGCACAGAGTGAAGAGCTTGGCAAAAGACAGAAAGTAAAGAAAGAACATAAATGCAGGGGTTTCCTTTATAGAAAAAATCCTGTTGAATTGAGGAAGGATGACATCAAAGGGGTTATAGAGGAAATACTGTAAGAATCTGTAAAATATTTTGCCATTAATTATATAATTCAATTGCTAATCATGGTTATCCTACTAAACTATGCATGTCAATTAGTAACTGCTATTAATTGTTGAAAGTTATTTTTATATGTGAATTTTTTGTTCCTCTTCTCTATTGTACCCGTGAGACCTGCACTGGAATATATGGACTTGATGAGTCTAGATCGAAAGACAGTGATGCACTTCAAAGCAAAATCCTTAATTGTACTTCCTTATCACCCTTTAGATATTGTTCCAGTTTTAGAGCTGAGTCTCATGAAAAGTCTTCATCTCTAATTTAATTATTCTGATCATTTATCTCCCACACAGGGCTTTTCTCAGAAATCTGTGACATTGCCTCCTTGTCATATTTGATAGATGACCTAAACATGTCAAACTAACTGATAAATCCTAATGCAAATGTAGCTAAGGATAGTCACATACCTGAAGGAATAAAAATGTTCACTGGGATGTGGAAAGTATGTTAAATTTAAATAAGAAGTCATTACAACAATTAAAGAATCCCATATCAGTCTGGAAGATGCTGCTTTCTCGTAGAACGCAATTGTTATGAAACTGGATACCCAGTTTGAAACTGAATTGCATACCTGTGGACTTTTTTCAGATTCTGGATTTTGAATAGAATTTTGTAAGATGCTTATTTACTTGTGGTAGGAAACAGTTTCCAAATCACGCCTTCATAGTTTGGGATTCCCCAAACCCTCACACCGAAGGAGAATTTTTTGATGCTTCTTCTTTAAAGTTACTCTGTAATTTTTAGGGGACATGCGTACTTCTGCGTTCTCTGGATTCTTTGCTCTAGGAAAACAAACAAACAAACTGAATGGTGTAATTTCCTCTGAAATTAATTTTCTTTGCTTTCTATAGAAATAGAAATAATATGAAAGAATCACTTGGGCGTGGTGAGAAACAAATACCTGTTTCCTCAGTTGTACACAACAATCAAGCTGGAGTTACCATTTGCTGTGAGCTGTGCATCTAGGTGCCCCTCTCTTGGAAAGGACTCTGCCCAAAAACCTCCATACTGCTTACTTCTTTTTGATATTACAGAAAGGTTTAAAAAAAAAAAATCCCGACACCCCACATTCACTACTTTTATGAGCTACAGACCATTACAGGTCAGAACCTCCCTTTGAAAGGCTCCATTGTTTGCCCTGGGGACTCCAAGGGCTCCATCAGCTCCTGAAATGCTCCCACAGCCGCTGGGTGGTCAGTGGCTTCTCCATTTTGAAATGCCCTTCCAAACCTGAACTCCAAAAAGGGATACTGTGTCTTTTCACTTAAATACTTGGTTTTCCTTCTACCAAATCAGAAAGAGGCCATTTATTTCTTATGTGGTCATCCCAAATCTCCATTGCTGCCTTTTGTACCCACTAAGGTTTTCTTCCACACACGATTGACCACTGGGTGTCATAAAACCTTAAAAATTGATCATTCAATTAAACTTCTTGTTTATGATTTTATTAATAGTTACCCCATATCCATATCTAGTGGAAAAAAAATTGATTGCATTGTGTTGTAAAACTAGAGATAATCTATGACTATGAATGGTTTCAGAAAGGGATGGTGTTGCAATTGTTTTTTTCCATCTTGGTACATCTTCAGGTTTAATAGGTACTGCTGGTCTATGTATCAGATTAGGAACTTCAGTTTTCATTACACTCAGGAAAACCG